TTCGATGTCTCTCACTCCTTTGTAGGTGCAGCATGCCCTATTCTGTGGGGTAGCACCTCTACTACCATGATGGGTATGATGGGATCCCTCTGGTTAAGCAACAGAAAACTGGTTTTATTTTCTTTTTCTGTACTGACACAACAGTAAACATGGCTTCTTGTCTCAGACTTCACATATAAGTACAGTGGAAATGGTCCTTTAAAGAAAGTGGGAGGCACAAAAAGATTTCAAGAAAAAACAAAACCATCCCCCAAACTTTTGTGTTTACTTGGGCTGAGACAGAACCCCTCTGTGGGAACTTGCCAGCAGAAATGCGAGCTGCCAGCACAGCCTGGTCTGCCCTGTGGTGGAATGTGCCTTGTGCCATGTGTGCATTTGGTGGCTCTGCTAGGAGGCAGCCTGTGCAAGCTACTTTGCCATCTCAGCAGATGGTGCCTGGGGCCACAGTTTTCTCATATGTGCTTCTTGAGGAGAGCTTTCAGCCAGAGAGGTTCTTGTTCATGATTGGAAATCTGCTGGGGACCTTGGGGAGCCTGCTTGGTGTTCACACCCCTCCTGTGTTTCTATCATCAGCTCTGGGTGGAGACCACTGTGCAGGCAGAGGCCTGGAGGCTCAGCACAAGACCTGTCTTTGGTCTTCAGACTCCATAAGTCAACAGGAGGTGCCTGCCTCCCTGCTGGCCTCTCACACTGCAGTCCTTGGGGCACAAGCTCAGCAAGGGGCCTGGACTTCTCAGCCTGACTTCCTATCCTGGCTCACAGGTGGGGCTGCACCACTGAGGACTGCCCCTCTCCAGAAAGCTTGCCTTCAGGGGCCAATACCTACTCTGCCTGCACCCTGCCGGTCTGGAAGCAAACCCTTCTGCCTCCACACCCACACTGTTCTGTCCTGCACAAACTGAAACTTGGTTTTTAAAAAATATTTATTTTTTAGTTGTAATACAGTACCTTTATTTATTTTTTATGTGGTGCTGAGGATCGAACCCAGGGCCTTACATGTGCTAAGCAAGCTCTGTACCACTGAGCCACAACCCCAGCCCCTGAAACTTAGCTTTTTATCTCTCTTCTTTCTCTCCTTCTCCCCCTCATCCTCTTTTTTTAAAAGATTAGACCCAGGAGGTGAAAGATGGATACATAAAAAATTATCAACTTAAGGGAAATACTAACATGAAGGGTAGAAGCAGAATGGGATTTTTGCGGGGGTAGAAGCAGAATGGGATGTTTGTTTCTGCTAACATTCCCTTCAGGGGTCTTGAACTGTGTGAAGAAGTGCGATAATGGGGTTTAGTGCCACTGACCTGGACAACACCTGCAACAGTGAATATGAGTGCTTTGTTTCTGCTAGGTGAAGGGGACAGCAGCCAAGACCATGGAGAGACATGCTCCCAAGGCATTGCCAGTGGCAGTTGTGGGAGGAAGGTGTTTCCCCAGCACCTGTAGCTCAATGCTGGGTAGCTGTGGCTTGGCTTCTCCTTCCCATGCCCCTGGTGTGAAGGTGTCCTGAGATTAAGACCTCTGCCTCTGAAGGCCAGTTCTTGACTAATGTCACCAACAGCCCTGTCCTGGAAAAGCAGTCTCGCCCTGCAGCCCACTCTCCCTGACAGCCTTGGCCCCAGGCTTCACCCAGAACTCTCTCCTGGGTTCCTCTTTCTGTTCTCAGCTGGCTTCAGGATGTTCTCCCCTGGCCCAGCTGACCAAAAAGCCAGGGGAGCACCAGACCCTGGCACCCATACACCCCTCTAAGATGAAGGTTGCCTGCATTGATATATATAAACATAAAGAATTTCACACCAGCCTTCTTAATCCTACCTATGATTGAAGCACATTCTAGATCTTTCTTTCACTATTTACAACACTAGGTCCTTTATCTGTGTTCATCACTTTCTTTCATGTTTTAGGTAACCATTTACAGCACACTGCAGACCAAACATCTTTTCTACCTATTTTATCTGAGTGAAAGAGGCTAGGGAGGTGTCTAGTTTCTGCCCTCCAGGAGGCAGTGGTCCTGGACTTAAAAAGAGCTGAGATCAGCTACAACAGAGACCTGGGGATGACAGGTGGAGAGGTGTTGATTGGTGACAAGTGTTTTGGCTACTTAGATTTTTGCATTTTAATAGGGACAATTCTTTAACTGAAAGAAAGTAATTTCTAATGGTGGGAACTCACTTAGGGTGTTAAGAATGAAGTCTAGAGGGAATGAGGGCTTCTAGCACCATCTCAAAAGCTGTTCTGGTAGATGCTCAGTAGAAACTGAAGACTGGATTTTTAAATCACAAAACCATTTTAACAAAGATCATTGCCTCTTTTTGTACTCCTTTCACAGTAAGCTTAGTTCTGAATCATTCTTAGATGAGGAGAGATCCCAGCATTAGGTATAATCCTGAGTACCAGCTGTAACCCATAGCACTGAGGGAACTGGAGCCATCTACAGGGTGCCTGGAGTGTGGGAGTTCCCTAAATCTCCTGAATGGAGGATTGATGTGTGCAAAGGCCCAGGAGTTGGACAATATCTGCCCATAGAAGAATGATGTTGCTATGTCCCCATGTCTTGGGTTTGCAGGGGTGAGACTACAGAGGACAGGAACTGCTCTTTATAGGCATCGTGCCCTTGCTTGACTTCCTCACATCTAATGGCTGATTTACCTAGTTCTTATTCATTAGAAATCCTTACACCCATTTTAAAGGTGAGGAAACTGGCTTGGTAAGTTCTTGAAATGTCTTCTTGTCTCCCAAGAGTGTGCTAGGCCCTGGATGATATTTTTGCCTAGAATACTTCAAACTGCACAAAGAGCATTGCTAATAGAAGCCTAGGCACCACAGAGCTTCTCCAGACACTGGGCTTCTTATTAATGATCTCAGAAAAGAGGCACATATTCTCCCAGACCTATCACAGAGGGGCCTGCCTGTCTGGGGTGATCTTCTGAAGGACTCTCTGTGAAGTGTTGGGTACCAGGAGTACTCCCCAGCTGTACCAGCCCCATGGTAACCATGCTGAGTGTTGCTCTCCTGCAGCTGATGAACTTCTGTAAATGGTTCAGTTCTACTTCTGGTTTAGGGAGACATGATCCCATGTGGAAGACACAGCAGAGAGTGGGGGGCTGGGAAGAGTTGGAAGGTAGTGACCACAAAATCCCAAATGAGAGACTGAGGCAGAGCAGGCCACCTGCTCCCTGTGGCCATGCCTGTTCTCCTTAGGATGGTCAGTACACTCAGGCTGGCATATAACACAAACCCCAGCAGATGGAGCTCAGTGAGTTTGTCATACCTCAATGTCAATTGCTGCTGAAGGGCATCTCTTTAAACTGTAGTACAATACAGTGCTTGTTGCTTTACTTTCTTTTTAAAATTTTTTAAAATTTATTTTTATTTTTTTTTAGTCATAGTTGGACAAAAAACTTTTGTTTTATTTATGTGGTGCTGAGGATGGAACTCAGGGCCTTGCACATGCTAGGTGAGCACTCTACCTCTGAGCCACCACCCCAGTCCCAACTCTCAGTCCTATATTTAAGATTATTTAAAAGGAGAATTAGGTATCACTGCAAAGAATCCAGAATTTTACTAATTTGTTCAAGTGAAAAGGAGTTCCCTTCTTATGTGTGCATTACCCAGGTGCATAATTAGTGTAAAGGAATTTGAGCAGGAGTGAGCACAGTTGGGTGACTCCATTATTACCCAAGATTTTCCATTCCTCTTTGTGAGGAAGTCAGGCTAGGTGACCTAAATTAGAACCATAATCTACAGTGCATTTAGTTGAGTTCAGATAGAAAATGAGGCTTTCTGAGCTTTGGGTTGTGGGAAATTGGAATCGCTCCTGTGTGCAGTTGCCCATGAGCTGCATGGGGTGGCGACACCTGGGAAGCTGAGCCGGGGCTCCTTCTACTTCCAGTGAGACACCTGGGAGAACTGTGTTCCCAGTGCATGTGCTTCTATTCCTTCTTCTATGTAAGCCATTTCCCATAATCCGTGGCTCTAGGTTTGTATCCAGATCCTATACATTTCTCATTGTTTTGCTTAACTCAGGGGTTTTGAAGGGTATAAAACAGGGAAGGGTAGACTTAAAATCACTCCTGGTATCTTTATAAGCAAATTGAATAACAAAATGCAACAAACATACGTGGCTTTCAAGACCCACGGCCATGGCTTCATTTCTTCAGTGGCCTGTCATTTATTGGGGGCCTGAGGAGGCCTGGCAGGTGACTGTCCCAGGAAGGATTTCTGGTGTGCGAGCACATGCAATCCTGTGCCTGTGCTTTGGCCAGGTGTCAGAACAGGAGTGAGGTCTGCCTTTCCAGAAGTGCAGTCCTCATGGCACAGATGGTTTCAGAGAGCAAAGGCAAACCTGCCTGTATCCAGATCTCTGCTCTAGAAGCCTCTTCCTGTAGGACCTGATGAAAACATTGATCACATGAGACTCAGATGCCCCTTAGTGAGATGAGGATGTCAGCAACCACCTAGGATATGATGAGGAGGCTTAAAGAACACAGAGCAGCGCAAATAGAAGCACCTGAGGATGAGTGGTACAGGACTCTAGGCTTTGTGTTCCTAGGTACCTATTTTTTATGCAGCTGAGGAGAGGGTGGTGAAGTATCCTGGGCTTCCTGTTCCTAGGCACCTCTGTCTATGCAGCCCACATTAATGAGCTCAGGCTATTTTGAGATCTTGTTTCTAAAGCTGTGTGACAGTGATGAGCCCACTCTCATGTTGCCCAAGATGGGATGATACCTTCAGTACAGCACCCCCTGGGAACAGAGCCATGGTCTGAGTAGTGACCCCAGGTGCATCTGGAGTGTGGAGACAGCAAGACCCAGAGATGAGCTTTGTGGGAGTTTATGTGCAAAGCTGAAAGCAATTCTGTTTATGAAAAGTTCTAAATTTTTTGCTGATAGTTCAATTAACTTCCCTAAGATGCATGCATTCTTAAATGGAGACCCAACAACTTTCTAATGAAGAAAGGGAGAACTCCAGCCCAAAGGCTCTTTGTATACTTGGCTTTCCTGACCCCCTGCCTCTGGCAAGTAGCAGCCTAATCTTGTGTCTGTAGGCACTGGGTGCTGACTATTGTGGCAAGGTTCTTGACTTGGGTGAGACTCTGATCCCTTAGACCCCTTGGTACTGGCTACTACTGTTTAGCTAATGGGAAAAGTTTGTTTTATTTCAAAGCAGAGCAGATAAATTCACAGAGGTGGACATTACAACATGCAGTGACTGTCTTTGGGAGAATGACAAGGCCAGGACTAAACCTTAGAATAATATTGACTGGAATGTAAAGATTGGTGCCCTCTGCAACCACTCTGAAGGTGCGTCCTGTCTCCACTCCCCCCTCAGCCTGCAAGGGCAGTGCTGGGCTGTGACTGACCTTGTTCCTTTCCCACATGGCAGGATTTCAGAGATGCCAGCTGTCATGGATGCTTTTCTCCAGCCCTCCACAAGTCACACACCTCAAGCCCCACTCCTACATGTGGCCACTGTGCTTATCTTTCTCTATGAACATGCTGTTGTTTAATGATATAGGGCCAAAGGAGTCAGCCATCCATCTTCGTTTGATTTTTGCTGACACAGGAGCTTCCCAGGCCAGGGCAAGGTCACCCAGGGGCTGTTAGCCCTTATTTGCATGCTTGTGCTCCTCCTAACCACCTTCTAGAAGTTACATCTGAAAGATTTGGGCCAATATCATGGGGCACAGCCGGGAACACCGCTTGGCTTTCTGCATGGATGTGTTTACTGTTCCCTATGCACATTTTGGGCTCCTGGATGTCACAACATGTTTCTGCTCTTTCTTCTGTGCTCTAAGATAGGCTTGAGTATGGAGGGCCCAGTTACAGAATGCCATGATACCACCTCACAATGCTTACAGTAATTTCAGTGTCACGTTGTGATTATTTCAGGGCCATTTTGAACCATGACTGGAGAGAATCGTGGCCCTCAGCACATTGGGATAGAAGCCATGAGCAGGAGCAGCAGAGCCGGAGAAGGAGCAAGCAGGCCAGACATAAAGGCCTGGTTCTGAAGTCAGAGTGCAGCAGAGAAGAGATGAAGAGGCTCAAGGAGAATGATGTGCAGAAGCTTTCTCCCTGTGAAATCCCGATCTCAGCAGCACATCTTCCACATAATGGCAGGGACCTGTCTGCTCAGCTCTGAGCTTTTGGTGGTGCATATTTTTGAAGTATTGGAGGAGAGATGAGTGAGGGAGGGAGGAAGAAACAGAACTTCCCCAATTCCACAGGAGTGATTGTGTGTTACTTATGTTACACCTTGCAAATTGAGTCTTCACAACAAAAGTCAGTGCCATTTCTAATCCTTTCTATACTGCATAAAATAGCTTTATATATTTCCCCAACATATGGTTTATGCTTTGCAAGTAGTAAAATTTATATATCTTGGTCTCTTTCCAAATCATGAACAAATATCATGCAATGGAGTTGACATTTTAGTCCAAAAAGTGTTCACAAATCAGTGTGGCTGCTGACTGAACCTTGTGATGTACAATGCAACTTTTCCCCAGCACAGGCAAGTCCCAAGTCACTATTGGACAGAGGAAAGGACAGGTATATGGTACCTTTCTCCATTAATAACCCTTTGTTTTTAGCCAAGTTTTCCCTGAAATTAAAGGCAGATACAAATGAATAAAATGGCCCTCACATAACCGTTCAGTGCCTAAGCACATACAGCAATATCAGGGCAGCTCTGCCCAAATTCTACAAAGCCAGCATTCTCCTGGGTAAGGAGAAGCTTATGTCTTCCTGTTGCTCCAGTGGGACATTCTGAATATTGCCACCCACAGGAGGTCCTGGGGCCTTCAGCTTCAGCTCCACTCTATGATGGTCTTACCTGTAGAGCCTTAAGCCTGCCTGAACCTGCCATACAGAAGCAAAGTGGGGTTTTTCAAGAGATACAGGCTATGGGCCCCTGCTTGAGAGGGAGGATCCTGGCCTGGAGGCTCTGCCCTAGCTTCACCCCTCTCTGGAACTGTTTCTGATTCATCTGGGTTCTAGAGTGCAGGAACCTCCACCTGTTGGTAGCATCTGCTTCTGGAGCCTTGCCTCTGCTGGCCTCAGCCCCACACCAGCTTGTCCTCCATGGTTCCTGGCATTTTCCTGCCATTCTCTGCAATCTTCATTTCTCTTTCTTCTGACAAACCAATTTGACCACCTTCTTGTAAGCCAAGGCAGAGGTGAGAGAAGACATTGGGAGATGAATGTGCCAGTGACTAATGGGCTTTCATTTGGATTAAAAATCACATATCATAGAATGAAGAGTTGATTTAACAAGAGCCATGTTTCTAGCTCCAGGGATGGTAAGCCATCCAGGGCTTCTGCATCCTGGTGAATCCCTGGTGAGTTCACAGGATTCCATATCTAAGCATGCATGCATTCTCCAGGTGGGCCTAGGCTTCTGGGCTGCCATTTGGTTTTCTGTGTTTTGCTTCTATTTTTGCCTTATTTTGCTTTTGGTAATGACATATAACTTAAAAAATGGAATACCCATCTCACAAGTAGCACAGACACCTGGTACTCTGCCTCTAATGTGGCAGCAACCTTCATGCCCAGTGGGCCCTTGAGCAGCAGCTGTAGCAACCTTTCTACATAGAAAACACCCCTGCAACCTTCCAAAAAATGCCAGTTGATCACTTAGAAGATCACACTCGAAATACACTGGAATTACATGTCTCCTTAGCTGTACTGCTCCCAATAGGACATTTCCAAATGGAGTGGCAAGCAGAGAATGAGTCATAGCACACAGTATCCCTAAATCCATCAGTACTAATGGTCTCATGACACGTGTGAATTTCTATGTGCTTGGTTGCAGCCCAACCAACCCCATCCATAGTAGGACACAGGCTCTGTGCACCCCAGCTTACCTGCATTCCCAATCCCTCTCAGGTGAGGCCTGGTAAGAAGGTAGGCCTGTGCCTCACTGTTACTCCACAGCTGCCCTTGAGCCAGTGGATACCAAATGGTCTCGGGCCCCCATGCCATTGAGCTCCAACAGCCACTGAGCTCAGGCTCTTGGATATCAGGGGGACAGCAGAGGGATAGGTGGCCTTCAGTGCCCATGTGACCCACTACCATACTATTGGCTGCCTCTTAGGCTTCTGCTGCTCCTTTATGTGCCACAATACAACAAACACAAGTGAACTGGGCTAGAGCAAGGCATGTGGGCACAATTCTCAGGCCTTTATGAAGGCCAGGTCTTATTCTTTTGAGTTCTTTGTGCTAAGCCATTGTTGTGACTGCCTGAGATAACAGGACCACTAGGATAAGCCCTAGACTGTCCCTGGTGAGGTGCTAGGGCATTGGACCTCCACCCTGTGGGTGTTCATTCTGTGAACCTGTGCTCAGTTTCCAAATAGTGTCCACATACTAGGTGTGCAGCTCTGACATATGCTTTAAACATGAGTCCTGGCTGTTCCACCAATTGGTAGTTCTGGTGTTACCTATAAATAAACATGTAAACACCAGAAAAAGCACAGAGCAGGGAAGGGAGGTAAAATCAACTTTACACCTAAATATTTTTATTTTCTTCCCAACAATTTGAATATAAATAATGATACTTTGCTAAAATACTGCCTAAAATACCTGACTTTTACAGACTCTAATGTGGTATCTGCATCCATGACATGAGGTAGTCTGGGCATTCTTGGCCCATTTAAGACTGTGGGACTGTGGCCAGTGCTGGTTCAGGAACTGGATCCTTAGTTTCTTGTTTCGGGAATGTAGGTTAGAGCAGTGACCTGCTCACGTGTGACTCAGGGAGGTACTGCTCTGTTGTCACATAGAAAGGCCATTCCCTAATTCCATGACACAGCTGCGGCTGATGGTGCTAATACTCTTGGAAGCTTTCCAAGAGCCTAATTTGAGTCCTTTTTTTTTCCTTTTTTTTAATTTATTTTTTATTGGTTGTTCAAAACATTATAAAGCTCTTGACATATCATATTTCATACATTAGATTCAAGTTGGTTATGAACTCCCAATTTTACCCCAAATACAGATTGCAGAATCACATCGGTTACACATCCACATTTTTACATAATGCCCTATTAGTAAATGTTGTATTCTGTTACCTTTCCTATCCTCTACTATCCCCCCTCCCTCCCCTCCCATCTTCTCTCTCTACCCCACCCACTGTAATTCATTTCTCTCCTTATTTATTTTCCCATTCCCCTCACAACCTCTTATATGTAATTTTGTATAACAATGAGGGTCTCCCTCCATTACCATGCAATTTCCCTTTTCTCTCCCTTTCCATCCCACCTCATGTATCTGTTTAATGTTAATCTTTTCTTCCTGCTCTTCCTCCCTGCTCTGTTCTTAGTTGCTCTCATTATATCAAAGAAGACATTTGGTATTTGTTTTTTAGGGATTGGCTAGCTTCACTAAGCATAATCTGCTCTAGTGCCATCCATTTCCCTGCAAATTCTATGATTTTGTCATTTTTTAGTGCTGTGTAATACTCCATGGTGTATAAATGCCACATTTTTTTTATCCATTCATCTATTGAAGGGCATCTGGGTTGGTTCCACAGTCTAGCAATTGTGAATTGTGCTGCTATGAACATCGATGTGGCAGTATCCCTGTAGTGCGCTCTTTTAAGGTCTTCAGGGAATAGTCCAAGAAGGGCAATAGCTGGGTCAAATGGTGGTTCCATTCCCAGCTTTTCCAGGAATCTCCATACTGCTTTCCAGATTGGCCGCACCAGTTTGCAGTCCCACCAGCAATGTACAAGAGTACCCTTTTCCCCACATCCTCTCCAGCACTTGTTGTTGTTTGACTTCATAATGGCTGCCAATCTTACTGGAGTGAGATGGTATTTTAGGGTGGTTTTGATTTGCATTTCTCTGACTGCTAGAGATGGTGAGCATTTTTTCATGTACTTGTTGATTGATTGTATGTCCTCCTCTGAGAAGTGTCTGTTCAGGTCTTTGGCCCATTTGTTGATTGGGTTATTTGTTTTCTTATTGTTTAATTTTTTGAGTTCTTTGTATACTCTGGATATTAGGGCTCTATCTGAAGTGTGAGGAGTAAAAATTTGTTCCCATGATGTAGGCTCCCTATTTACCTCTTTTATTGTTTCTCTTGCTGAGAGAAAACTTTTCATTTTAAGTAAGTCCCATTTGTTGATTCTTGTTATCAACTTTTGTGCTATGGGTGTCCTATTAAGGAATTTGGAGCCCAACCCTACAATATGTAGATCGGCACCAACTTTTTCTTCTATCAGACGCAGAGTCTCTGATTTGATATCTAGCTCCTTGATCCACTTTGAGTTAACTTTTGTGCATGGCGAGAGGAGGGGATTCAGTTTCATTTTGTTGCATATGGATTTCCAGTTTTCCCAGCACCATTTGTTGAAGATGCTATCCTCCCTCCATTGCATGCTTTTAGCTCCTTTATCAAATATAAGATAGTTATAGCTTTGTGGATTAGTCTCTGTGTCCTCTATTCTGTACCATTGGTCCACCCTCCTGTTTTGGTACCAGTATCATGCTGTTTTTGTTACTATTGCTCTGTAATATAGTTTTAAGTCTGGTATTGCTATACCGCCTGATTCACACTTCCTGCTTAGAATTACTTTTGGTATTCTGGGTCTTTTATCTTTCCATATGAATTTCATGATTGCTTTATCCATTTCTACAAGAAATGTCGTTGGGATATTGATTGGCATTGCATTAAACCTATAGAGAACTTTTGGTAATATTGCCATTTTGATGATGTTAGTTCTGCCTATCCATGAACAGGGTATATTTTTCCATCTTCTAAGATCTTCTTCTACTTCTCTTTTTAGGGTTTTGTAGTTTTCATTGTATAAATCTTTCACCTCTTTTGTTAGGTTGATTCCCAAGTATTTTATTTTTTTTGAGGATATTGTGAATGGAGTGTTTTTCCTCATTTCCGTTTCAGAAGTTTTGTCGCTGATATACAGAAATGCCTTTGATTTACGTGTGTTGATTTTATATCCTGCCACTTTGCTGAATTCATTTACTAGTTCTAGTAGTTTTTTTGTAGACCCTTTTGGGTCTTCTAGGTATAGAATCATGTCAACTGCAAATAGTGATAATTTAAGTTCTTCCTTTCCTATTTTTTTGCCTTTAATTTCTTTCGTCTGTCTAATTGCTCTGGCCAGTGTTTCGAGAACTATATTGAATAGAAGTGGTGATAGAGGGCATCCCTGTCTTGTTACAGATTTTAAGGGGAATGCCTTCATTTTTTCTCCATTGAGAATGATGCTAGCCTGAGGCTTAGCATACATAGCTTTTACAATGTCGAGGTAAGTTCCTGTTATCCCTAGTTTTTCTAACATTTTGAACATAAAGGGATGCTGTACTTTGTCAAATGCTTTTTCTGCGTCTATTGAGATGATCATATGGTTCTTATTTTTAAGTCTATTGATGTGGTGAATAACATTTATT